TATACACCTATTTCAATTAACGTTGTCGGATAGAAATGTTTTTAAAAGCCTACAAGACAAGACCGAATGGTAGCATGGGTAAAAGTAGAAAACTGCTGCACGCACCGAATACTAATGAGAAGTAACATGAAAAACATTATTTAAATAAATAAATAAATAAATAACTTTATTTAAGTGCCAGAGGAGGAGGATTTAGCACTGCTCTACTAATTGTGGACACTGTAAATGAACAAACAAATATTGTAAATAGAACATAAACGTGTTAAGAATTCCAACTGGTGGGAGGCTGTCCAGTTGGATATTTACAAAGCGTGGCCGAGGAGTTGAACTCGGGACTACCGAGAGCAAATCCAGCTAGTGGCAGGGTGGAGGATTTGAACCAGGGATCTTCCGGATTTCAAATCCCGCGCCCTAAACCACTCGGCCACGCCGCCTCCCATAACGTTTGCTCTTTGTTTTAAACCTGTAGAAGTAAGCTAACTTTGACCAAACTAAATTTTAGCAGAATCAGCTAGCGAAAAAACATGGAAAAACAAATGATCTAATTCGTGGCGATATGCAAATTATAATGACGACCATTCGGTCTTGTCTTGTAGGCCTTACACTTCTATCCGACAACGCTAATTGAAATAGGTGTATGTTCACAGATAACTTCTAAGACAGACGATTGACGAGCGAAGACCTCAAAATGTGCATCGTGTTTCTGTACTTCTGCGACAAACCAAGTCCTGATGATCCTGCTGGGTATCGTCTTATCATAGCATCAAACAGGGATGAATTTTATTTCAGACCAACAGCCACAGCCAGGTTTTGGGAGAAAAATCCCAACTTAATTGCAGGTAAACCTTTTTTCATCCGTGCTTGTATGCATGGCTTGATCATTCATAAAGGGGCTTGAAGTCACACTATCACATGTCATGATTCATGTTTATATAAAACATCAATCCAGTCTGTTGACAAGTCAGTTTTATATTTGTAATAAAAAAGGGCCTGCTCTCTAGTATTGAAAACTCCATCCACTTAGTTTTATTTCTTAGGACATACATGTATAATTGATTTTGAATTTCCAGATAAACAAATTGAGCTTTGCATGACTGAGCTGTGACGATATTTTTACAGGAATGGATCTAAAGCCAGGAAAGGAGGGTGGAGCATGGCTTGGAATGACCACTGATGGAAAATTTGCAACCGTTACAAACTACAGGCAGGCGCCAAAGTTCTTTGGTCCTAGTACAATAGGGAGAGGATATCTTGTGCCAGACTTTCTAAAAGGAGATGGTAATGTTGAGAGTTACCTCAAGACTGTTAGCGGCCAATCTGAGAAGTATCATGGATTTAATCTCTTGGTGGGAAAATTGTCGCAAACCGATGAGACCAAGGTGGGGTGGTATTGTAACATTGAAGACAAACAAGTCACCATGATGGAGCCAGGAATACATGTCTTATCAAATAAAGTGTTGAATTGTTCTTGGACCAAGATGGCTTATGGAAGGGAAAGATTTGCTAAAATATTAGAAAAAACCCCAACCAAAAAATAACTCATTGATAAACTCATGGGCTTGCTGACTGCACGAGAAAGGTTGGTACATAATCAAAGTCTCTTCATTTTTTTCTTACTATTGAATTCTTTCCTGGGCCGAGTGGGTGAAGCTTATTAGAAGGGGGCATAACGGAAAGGGCGGCTTAATCAATAATGATTCTTTGGCTTTGAATATCTAAACCATATACAGTCCATATTGTCCACTACACCTTTATCCACATAATAAGTAAAGCTAGATTATTATTTGTTATAAAATTCCTTGTTCTGTTTGCAACAATTTACATTTTTACTTAAATTATGGATCATATATCTTTTTTTTTTTTATGCGATTTTTTGTCGCGCTCTCCAATGCAACTTTTATCGCGCTCGAGCTCGCGATGAAAATCGCAAGTGTAAACTAGCGGCGATTTCACTGCGATTTGGGCGCGATTTGTCGCGCTTTGCAATTGATGCAACTTGGCGGCGATTTTGGGGAAAATTTAACCATGCAAAAATGGCGTATCAGTAGGGATCCCACGGGCTGATATTTAGAGCGGTTTTCATTTGAGTGTCGTAAACCCAAAACCAAAACCAAAACTATGAGTGGTTTTGGTTTTGCATCTGATTGGTTGAGTAGGTGGCGCGAGTTTTTTAAACCAATCACAGAACGTAGTAAAGCAAAACCAATTTTGGATTACATTCGATACTCAATTGAAAATCGCTCAACTTGTAAAAACAAACCATGCAAGGTTCTGAGGGTAAAAAAAATGCCTTAAAGGTTAAATGCATCGAAATTTTGCATTTTTTTCTTTTGTCGCGAAAGCTGTTCTTTATATTAGCATCAATCATACTCAACCCTCCGAAGTTTGCCCGAACGCTTCCGTTTGTGGAAGCGAAAAAAAAAGGCAGTTTTCAAAGTCAAATATCTCGGCGACGTTTTTGTCCAAATCTTTTCAAACTTCAGAATATGATTATTTATTATATCAGTCCCTATTATTTCGACTTAAAACTAATCTTACTAATATTTCGGTGCATTTGACCTTTAACCCTAAACACTGAGACAAGCAACAACTTCTTCCATCTCATTTCCCTCCATGACTATTCACACGAGACTAACATGCCTTGGACAATTAGCCACACATTGATGCAACAAATTCAAGAAATGAATACAGACGCCAGAAAATGCAACAGACATGTGGATGACCCTGGGGTGGGGTGGGAGGGTCGGAGGGGGGGGGGGGGGGGGACTTCGATATAAAAGTGACGGGGGTGGGGTGGATGACACCATTTGTGTTTAGGATGCGCGGGTATGCGCCTGCTCTTCGCTGCTCTTCGAGACTACTGCTGTTTAAAATGCCGTTTGCACTGAAATCGCAGCAAATATCGCACCCGAATCGCGCCCAAATTGCACTGAAATCGCCGCTAGTTTATACTTGGGATTTTCATCGCGAGCTCGAGCGCGACAAAAGTTGCATTGGAGAGCGCATCAAAAATCGCCTGTGTAATCGGAGTTATTTCAGCTTCTAATACGTTTTGTCATTTTCAGTTTTTATTTTTAGTTACAAATAAAATGTTTTTTGTTGTTAGACATTTCAGTGTTGCTGGTCAACATAGTTTCATTGGCCCTCAAGATGAAGGTAGTGACATAAATATGATCAATGCAAGCCGAGCGGTTTTTTGTAAATTACAAAGAAAAGACATTTGGAACAAGGTAGATATAAAGATATTCAGTGGAAAAATGTGTAATACGGCTGGTTATTTTTACGAGTCAGTTTTTATTTTTTTCGAGCCTTTAGGCGAGAAAAAATAGACATTGACGAGTAAAAATGCTCAGCCGTATTACACAAATTTCCGCTGAATAAATTGTTTATTATACGACATAATTATTTCCTAAAATATAGGCTTTCAACTGTGTTTTTCGTAGCGCGCGGTCAGGGGGACTAAGACCTGTGTAATACATAAAGCAATAGCCTCCATTTGGCGAGGAAATATGCTCGGATATTTGTCCGCGGACATTATCTGTTCAGAGAAGCAAACAGTTTTCCGAGAGCGAAGCTCGAGGAAAACTGTGAGCTTCGAGGAACAGATAATGTCCCAAGGACAAATATCCGAGCATATTTTTGAAGCCAAATGGAGGCTATTGTAGTTATTATCCTTCAAATATTTTTTCACAAGGCCGCTCTGTTTGCCGTGGAAGATCTCCGTCGGCCAAGCTGTTAAACAACAAAATAATTATGTTGGCGCTCAAAAAATATTTCTAGTCTGTTCAAAACAATCAGTTTTATTTAATTTAGCAATTTATTTGAGACGAAAACTTAACCTGCGAACGTGCAACGCAAATTTTCAAAACTGGGGAATATCACTTGGGGAACATCACCCGGATATTCCCCAGTTTTGGCTGCGTCACGTGACGTGTTTTAGACCAATCGCGCGCGAGAAAACATTTTGATGGATTATAAGGTCTCATATTTGCACTCGTTTTGGTGCGTATTCGCACTCTAAAATGCTATGTCGTATAATAAACGAGTATTTAACAAGAAACAAACTTCTTTAATTTCTAATGCAGGTTATAAAAGAAACATTTACAGAATAGAGTCAAACCCTGCTTAAAGGAGAAGGTCACTCCAGAAAGCGCATTTTTTTTCTCACTACCATTAAAAAGTATATATGAAGATGAATTACTGACCGTAGTTTGAAGTTCCAAAGACCCTCGTAACCTCGCGAATATTGCCTTCAAACTGTCGAAAATTCGACTTGACCGCCGCCATTTTGAAGACTACTGAGCAACCTGGCGCATAATCGTGACGCCAAATAGTCCAACCTAAATTGGCGGGAAGCGCTGTGTGATTTAAACACAGTTTTGTGCCACTTTCCACTTTGAAGCACAGACTTACCTTAACCTTTTCTGAATCACTTACAATGTACACGTTTAAGGCAATTTCCTATATTTTGATAACTATTAAAATTTTTCGTGACTGTAGAGATTCTCACAAAAATCAGGCACGTGTGTATTCTAAAAATAGCACAAAACATTAGATATCCTGTGGTGGTTATGCACAACCTTGCTGCGTATGATCGACAGCTCCGTCTCCATCCCTAACGAATGGTTATTGATTTTTAGTTTCATTTTCTAATAGTCCTCTATGCCGACTTATTTTCTCAGAACAAACACAGTGGTGTTAGTTGATGCCAAAGGTCACGCTACGTATGTAGAGAGGACCATGGACGAGGATGGGACTGACCCGGATGAGGCCGAGTGGAGACTGAACACGTTCGAGTTTGACCTTATCCAGGAGACTGGTGACTGTGAGGATCATGTGACCAATGATCATGTGACCAATGATCATGTGACCAATGATACAGCTGAGTCAGCTAAGACGAATCACACAAATGTGGAACAACAGTGAATGGAAGGGGCAGAGCTGAAGTAACTGCAGAAAGGACACATAACTATTCAAACAAGAGACGATTAATAAATGGAACTAGCGTGTGCCGAGTGGTTTTAGGGCGCTGGACTTGTAATCCGGAGGTCCCAGGTTCAAGTCCTCCGCCCTGCCACTAGCTGGATTTTGTTCTCGGTAGTCCCGAGTTTCAACTCCTCGGCCACGCTTGTAAATAGCCATTTGGTCTGCCTCCTGTCAGTTTGGGATCAGCTTAACCATGTTATGTTTATTTACAATTATATTTGTTTCTGTGTCTATAATGGCCCACAATATAAACTACTGAGTTTACCAGTACAGTCGGAAGCTCCCGTAGCAGACACCCACTAGCAGTATAAGTGATATATATAGGTGGACGCTTACGGAAGCTTGTATCGCTCACACTAAACACAACAGAAATCAGATTACTGATGTCCTGCAGGGCCTGGTTAGTCAAAGTCAAAACAGAAAGACCAAAAATATAAACAGAAAATCTTACTGAAAAGTTGGAAAACTGAAATCAAAATTTGCGCTAATCCTGGATTAGCTTAATCGTCCTTTGAACAACCCGGCCCAACTGGTGTGATCATGTAGATGGCCTAAGCAAAAAGGTCTGCATTTATTACCTCTGTACAGCCGTTTGACACTATATAACAGTCTTATTTTACCATTATTCGATTATGCGGACATAGTTTGGCGCGACAAGAATAATGAAGCTGATGAAGTTCTCATGCAACATCTCCATGCAAGCATTACAAAATAATGCCGCCAGGACTATATCGGATCTTGCTAAATACAGTCAAACCTCTATTAAGCGGTCACCCTTGGGACATAGCCAACTGACCGCTTAATAGAGGTGTTTTAAAATTTTCGATTTAAATTTGAAGTTAAAATTTACCCACACAAGCCTATTAGCCCAAACAATAGCATTCATACGCTGATTACATATAACATGTTGTGTTTGATGAGCTCTTAAAAGAAACTGGACGTGCTCCGCTTATCGCCGTGTCAAAATATTGCATTGTAATCTAACTAGGTGACCGTTTAATAGAGGTGAAATACAATAAAATTAGCCAATTGGGAAGTCTAAGCCGGTGACCGCGTCCGCTTAATAGAGGTGACCGCTTGATAGAGGTCAAGTTTACAGTAAGTATGGGGAGCGATTTCCAGGAATTTGATAAGTGACCGCTTAATAGAGGGTGGACCGCTTAATAGAGGTTTGACTGTATTTCTCTGGCACTCAGGCTCTCGAACAGTTGAATTGGAAGCCTCTAGCTGTCCGTCATCGGAATCATTGCTGCGTTTGCCATTTATAAATGTTTGAACAATTTCGTAGATTTTAATTTTAGTCTCCCGGATAAGAAATTGCGATGTACATAGATATGGTACCTGCCGCCAGTTGGATCTATATCCACACGTGCGCACACCAATTGGGGCAAACAGCGCTTTACTATACGAATTTTTTAAACCAATAGTCTACTTACATTTTAGATGTACATGTATTTTTTATACATACAGCTGTAGATATGATTGATGTATTTTTAGCTTTTTTATATTTCGTAACTTATATAATTTCAGTATTTTTTAGCTTAACTTTTATGTTGTAGGACTTTCCATGAAAAACCATCTAGGTGAGTGGAGCCTCTTAGCTAAATATTAATACGAGAAAATATACCATCGTATGAACATGAAATGACTGTTTGTTTTATTGTCTTGTGCAATGCCGATCATGGCAAAAAAACACCTGTGTACTAGCTAGGACTGGGCCCTTAGTGAGACTAATATGATTTTAATTTCTCCTTTGGGGCAAGAAACGGAGGATCTGGGAACGAGAATGCCTTTGGGGTATCATTTTGAATGCAAATTCTTTCTAAACGGGGCCAAATTTGGAGACCTGGGCGGCACACATACCCACGGTGTCTGAAAAAAATTATGTTACATGGATTGCGTTACACTGTAGCCTGCAGTTTTCTGAGTTAAGGTCATTCCTTAGTATTGCACTGCGCATCCTTTCTGCGCATAATTTCGCGCGTAATTAGCGCGCGCACATTAAAAGCATGGCGGCTTTTTCATTATGGCCATGCTCGCCAGAGAAGTAAATGATCGTTTTCTCGTAAACGAGCGTGGTGACCTATCATTTTTTTCGCATATTTAAGCCTAGTAATCATCTTCTTTCTATACAAGGAGTATAGACCAATTCTCAGTGCAGAGAAATTAATAATCACTGAAAACATGAAAAAATACGTGTTTTTTGGTTGATTTTGTAAGGAATTATGAGGTATTTTTAGTCGATTATATCTCTTTCGCGAGGCTGGTGACCTATTCTTTTTATTCTATATTTTGAAACATTACATCACAATGTTCAACTAGGGAAAGTTTCAGAAACTTCCCAGTGTAACTTCTATTTCGATGGAATAACCTTAATGTATGCAAATGAGTCCGGACTTCGTGGTCAAAAACGCATCGGAGACGTTCTGTGAACGTTTTTCATGAACCTAACCTTGTGAGTTTATTTGGTGTGCCGGGAATACAGAAAAGAAACGTTTCCTACACCCAAAACATACCCGAGCAGGAGCCTGACCCGAGTACCCCCCCCCCCCCCCTTCCCCCACCCCCGCGGATTCCCAGGCCTTATTATCGGAATTTTGCGGTATGAACCATGGCTATGCCTTGATGGATAGCCCAAAATAAGATCAGCCTACTTTAGCATCCCAGTTGGCCTATAATACCACTGATTAGCCCCGAGAATAGCGCCCCTGTTAGCCTACTGTAGCCCCGAGAATTGTTAGCTTTCTTTTGTGGGTTAGGGACTGTACAATAATTATCAGGAGGGGGGGGGGGGGGGGGG